CATGCAGTTACTTGGGAATAGACTTGCCTAACAAATTTGAACTGGTCACTCATCCAGTAAAATCCAGCATCTGAAACAAGTATGAGAGTGTTTGTTTGGTCTAGGTAGGGGTTGAAGTAACACTGGAATGACTCTTTTCCTAACACTTTATTAACCTCGTCACTCATCTGGAAAATGTAGGTCAAATCCTGCATTTAAAGCAACTCTGGTAGTTTATAACCCCGATGCATCATCTATGCAAGTTAAGTTCAGAAAGACATTATTGTTTCATGGTCATCGACCTGTGTCAAAAACTTTTAACCTGGTCACTCATCTGGAAAATGTAGGTCAATTCCTGCATCTAAAGCAACTCTGGTAGTGTGCATCAATAAAATTAATGTATCTTCAATGCAAAGTTGGTTAGTATAGGGCAAATAGACACTTTAGAATGAATCTGCTCCAAAAACCTAGTTGCTTATCCCAAAAATATAGGTCAAATTCAGCAATTCCGAAGCTAGTCCAACAGTGTGCATCCTTAGATGTATCATACATGCAAGTTTGGTCCAAGTAGGACAAATAGTTCTTTAGAATGCAGGCCCGTAGGAAGCAATTTCAGTTTGGGGAGGGGGGGGGGGCACAGCCATACATTTTCAGTTGAGGGGGCACTATCAACTACCAAAAATTTCTTGACAAGCAAAAAAAAAAAAAAAGGTCATCAGACGCTTTTATTGAGTTTATTGAGGGGGCACAGGGATATAGTATCTATGTTTTCTATAGTAATCTATACATTAGCAAAATTATTGGGGGCTCCAAAAACTTTAACCTGGGAAGATGACGCCAAGATAATTGCATAAGCTCCCCCCAACTTCATTGAGATGAGCTAAAAATCTTCTCAGCAACAACAAGGCCATGATTAGTGATATTAATAATGCAAGGATCCTTGGTGCCGAATCAAGTTTGTGCAAATCATGGTCCCCTGGTGTACCTGGGTGAAGGCACAATAGTAGCTAGATTATAACATATTCTATACATTTACTGTAGATTCCTAAATATACGCGAGGAATTAGTTATCATGTAATTACGCGAGAAGCACTACTCGCGAAATAAATTTACTCGCATTTATTTTTATGATGCTTTAATGTATGTAAAATCTCGAGATAAATCACCCATTCGCGATTATTGTTCTCGCGATTTGACGCCCTTGAACCACTTCGCAATATTAAGTACTCGCGTAAAATAAGGAATCTACTGTAATTTTTTTTTTAAATATTCTTCTCAAGAACAGCTGGGACATGTTTAGTAATATGCACAAATTCTCAGGTAGTAAGGGTTCAAGTTTGTTCAAATTCATGGCCCCATGGGAAAGGATTAGGCCACAATTAGGGATAATAGTTGGAATAAAAATTATGTTCCTAAGAACAGCAAAGCATTATGATAGATGGATTTTATCCCTGTGTGATTTATTCAAAACGTGGCCCCATAGGAGAAAATCTGAAACTAGAAATATGTCCATAGGACATGAATGCCCCAGCTAGGGTTCATTAATTATGCAACATGGAAAAAAAGTACCCTCCTCTATGTTTAACATTAGGACAAGTACATGTAGTTCAAGGTCACAAGGAAGGTTAATGTCAGCAAATTATGTCACAGTTAAATACTACTCACATATTAGTGTATTAGTTTGGTGGAAATATCTAAAACAATTTCTTTAAAACTGGGTTTTAAACATAATACTAGTAAATAGTAATGTCAAAAGTCGAAGCAACTCAGATGAGACCTAGCTAAGTATGTTTTTAATCTCTCAAGAACAGCAGGATCAATGTAACTAGGATGAGCTTTGTGGCCTATATCTTTTAATTTGTGCATGCATAAATTCAACTTTTGATATGAATCCATTTGAAGAGAGCAACAAAGTTGCATTTGGAAACTATGATTTTGCACCTCATTTCAACAAAATACTGCATTAAAAAATCAGAATTGAAGAGACCATTATGAGTACTTTTTTTAAGAGATTTTAATTATTTGAATTGATACATTATACATATTAAAATTAATTGATATTTTTCAGTGATTGAAAAAATATCATGATCAGCTGTGTCAACATTAAGGATCGAGATGGGTGAACATGATGGTGTGCAGAATGCCTATAGCTTCAGATATATATAAATCATATTCAATTTGTGAATTTAGTCTTTAGAGTAAAGTTCACAATATTGAAATTTATGAAATTATATGATAAACAAAACTTTTCTGATGAAAATTTTCTCAGCAAAAATTATTCTCTTATTAAAAAATAGTGTGAGTTTCTAATCCTAGCAATAAAAATCCTAAGTATCAATTTCCTTTGAGACTTAAACATGCTAATCACTAAGAAATGTGTCATAAAAGTGTTGTTTTTTTTTTGTTCACAAAAAAATGTATATTTTAATGCAACCTTTGATAAACTTTCAACAAAATGAAGCAAAAACCCACTTGTATCGAAAAATTGTGTAATAGTATGAGATAATGATCCATTCTGCCCTCCTTAGTGTGTGTTTGCTATTTTATGAGCAAATAATTTCAATCTTTGTGAGATTTTTTGCAAATTGTAGAGATTTTACATAAAGTATACTATGTTAGATGAAATATCAAAAAAAATTTGTTATAAATGAGATTTAATTTTTTACCTTCATGTTCGGTGGACTATAGGTATTCTGTTTGTCATTGTCTGCCCATCTTCTTTGGCATACATTCAGTAATGTCAATATGTCATAAGATACCAAAACTTCTCCTCTGCTTTTAAGGGCTTGGAACCTTCTGCTTGAAAAAACATGCAAATATGTTAATTCAAGCAGGCAGCATTAAAAGTTTTGTGCCTTTTTGTTTTGCTTCTTTTTATATTTTTTTTCTTTCAAATCTGTTTTCTTTGTTTTCTTTCTTTCTTTTTTTTTTGTTTTTTTTTTTGGTTTGTTTTTTTGTTTGTTTGTTTTTTTTTGTTACTATGTTTTTTCTTTCTTTTCTTTCTTCTTTTTTTTTTTGTCTTTTCTTGTTTTTTTCCTGGCTTTTTTTGTTTGTTTTGTTTTCTTTTTTTGTACAATGAAATCAGACATTAAATTCACAAACAATTACAAATCACTATTTTACATAAACAAATCACAATTTGACATTCAAAAATCACATTTAACATTAACAGATCACAATTTAACATGTTCAAATCCCATTATTTTACATTATTAAATACAAATCATAATTTCACATCAAAATTTATAATCAATTACTTTTACTGAAGTTTAAGTCAGTATATAATGCATTTAATTTCACAATAAGCTAATAATCGGAATTACTATGCAAATTATTACTGGTACAGTAGCTGACAGAATTTGTACATTCCAGGAATACTAATTTAATATTTAACAATCATTATATCTGCAACATATATGATTTTAGATAAAATAAAAACAGATTATTAAAGACAAAGCAGCCTACAACTAGTTGCGTTTTCAACCTCTCCTCCCCAGGCCAGCCTGGCAACCGTAGCGGCCAAGGATCCACGAAGTTCCAACCAGTAATGCCCCAGGGTATCGACAAGGTCTACTTACAACTAGCTTTCAACTACTTCATCTAAACATTTTATAATATAAAATATAACAAATTACATAATATAACATTAGAGCAAAACAATTAATAGATAATAAAAGATATTTACATTGGCACAGAGAAAAACAATGGGGTCAGTGTGGGAGGAAACCGGAGCCCCCGGAGAAAACCCACGTGTCTGAGTGGGCGACCCCATACCCTCTTACAACTCAGACACCCATTTCCAAAACAAATGTTTCAAAAAAAATTGTTTTGGATTATAACATCGTAAACTGGATATGCTTGTGTGTGCAAATCTGGCTTTCTACATGGTCATCTATCTTTGTCTTTCTCCACATGCGACCACAAGGATATGCCTCAATATTTTTATTTTCTGTCAATGAATGAGAAAAAAAGGTAATTAACCAATAGGATCAATGAAGTAAAATGAAGAACAGTCTTACAGAATGGCATACTTGGGTGACTTATTTCCATACCTGAGGACTCCTTGTCATTCATAATGTCAAGCACATCCACATGACTTTAGCTGAGTCTTCTACTGGGTACTCTCATCAAAGCACACTATAACATAGAAATTAATACTTCAGCATCTATCTGGGTAAGTATACACAGAAATTAATAAAAAGAACAGACATATCTTAGTGAAATATTATATAGCTCTAAGATGATAACTTTTTGCTGTACTTTTTCAAAAAAAGATGTTGGATCATTGATTATGTCACATACCTGATCAGTGACAGTCCTCCACAGGGTTAAGTCTTGCTGTTGGGAAGCTCATCCATCAGTCTTGTCTTTTCTAGTTGCTTCCACCAATTCCTGTCTCACTGTGGCTGTTCATTTCCACATCTTAGAGGGTCAACATCCATCAGTCTTGCCTTTTCCAGGTTTTTCCACAAATTCCTATCTGGTGTAGATGCTCATTTCCACATTTTAGAGAGTCAACATCCATCAGTCTGGGTACAGTCCACTAATACATTTCCCATAGGTAACAATGTTAATGTTTTCTCACACAGCTTCTCCCCTAAATTTCATTGAAGGATGGGACACGTCCTCAAATGAAAGCTCGTCAAATTTTCTCTAACTGGTTAAAATCTCAAGATGCACATGGCATGTCAGATTCGTTTTCCAAGAAAATGCACATGTTCGCAAAAACATCTGAAAGTAAAAGTAAGGTAATTCATTCCCAAAGTCAGGGTATGCACATATCAAACAATTCAATTCTTTTTCTTTCAAAGATAACACAAAAATGAAAATGGTTTTGAATGTGGGATTTCTTCTTCTTAATCATACATATCAAGCATCTTTAGTTCAGATGACTTATTTTTATTATATTCTGCTTGCAAGTTAAGGATCCAACTATTTTGTGTTAGTGAACTACTTGCTACCCCTACCAATTCTAAAAATACTTAGAGGAATATACCCAGTCTTGCCAGGTTTTTCCACCAAGTCCTGTGTGGCTGTAGCTGCTCATTTCCACATCTTAGAGGGTCAATGTCCATCAACATTGTATTTTCAACCAGTTACATTTTTCCACCAATTCCTATTAGGCTTCTTTTTTTCACGATGTTGAAGAAAAACTTCATCCACACCATTCTTAGAAGTCACCTCTTCAACCTGTCAGGTGCAAGTGTATCATTTTAAACAATATATCAGTTTATGATTTTCTCATTTGCATAAAAGAAAGATAAAAAGGGGTCAGTGTGGGAAGAAGTTAGGTACCAAAGAGATTTAACCCATATGTGTCCGAATCGGGTGACCTCATACCCATTTATAATTTGGACACCCTTTACAAAAATGTTCTTTAAAATGGTTTTTGATTTTAAAAACAGAAAAACATTGTTGCTAGAATGCATTTATATCAGTGCTTTGAGATTTGAATATCAGCTTGTCCTGCTTCTCCATACATTATCTCAAGAACATGCTCCCTAAAAATTTTTGTACTTTATACACAGGGGGAAAGAAGAAGATACATTTTAAATCACTTTTCATTTGCGAGAACTTTATTTTCGCATAATTATTCGAGATGGTGTGATTGCAAAAATTTTATTCAGGCATATATTAGTATTCCTAGGGATATCATATTTTAGGAATGAATCTAATTCTTGGCCAAATTATTTGAGTATAACCTGGTTTTGGTCAGTTTACGCTTTATAATCTGCGAAGCGGATTATAAAACGCGGATTATAAAACAGCGTAAACTGACCCAAACCAGGTTATACTCGAATAATTTGGCCAAGAATTAGAGTCATTCCTTATAATTTAATTTTAAAATCATTAAATAACTATGGGTGTAAAATTTCGTTGCTTTTTATTAGTTCAAATTTGCTGCTCAATAATACAACCTTAGTAACGGAAGTAACGAAAATGATGGGAAGTGAGGGGAGGTAAAAACTGATACATAGGCCTAGCAGCCTTGTTGTTCGTTTATATGTGGTAAGATCGAATTATTGTTTGAAGTTAAAGGTACATTTATTAAATCTGGAGTTTTCCATGAATCCCGAGGACTGGAAATGAGAGGATTGTATGGATACAGATGATTCAGCTGGTAGTCAGGGGGGTGTGTCCCCATACCAAACCAGGTTATACAGAAATAATTTGTGTTCCTTTTTGGATATTAACCAGTCAGAGGCTAGAATACAAACTAAATTAAATTACAGAGCAATAACCATAATTCGTGAAAATTTTGTCTTGCTAATTAAGATTAAATGACTTTCTCATGAAAATTTAGTGATCTACAGTATTTTAAAGAATTTATGATTTTTCACTATGTTCATTAGAACCCCACCCCTTACTTCAGAATCCCTAACTCATTTAAGGGCCATGAATTTCATAATTTTAATACAGAGCTCATTGCTTATTACAATCATGCCAACAGTTTGACTGCTTTTAGTAAAGAAAAACTAATTTTATAGATCGCACTAATTTTAACCCCACCCCTATGGCCCCAGAGTGCGGGACCATGAAATTCATAATTTTGTTCCCCTTCAATCATAGATAATCTTCTTCTGCCAAAATTGGTTGAAATTGGATAAGCAGTTCTAAAGAAGAAGCTGAAAATGTTCAAATGTTAACACACGAGGGATGACGACAAACAAACAGATAGGAATAGGTCACCTGAGTGATTCAGGTGACCTAAAAATTACAAAAAATAGTAATCAAGGTAACTTTGACATACCTGAATGGTCCCCATTCTTCATAATGTCATCAAGCAAACCAAGCCAAAATGAGATCTGCTTAATTCCCAGTACTTTGAATGGTCTTCAAATCTTCAAACTTTAAAGAAGAGGAAACACATGCTATATAGCATCCACTAGAACAAAACAGAAAAATGAGAAAAACTACTGACACCCCAAGGAGAACCTGTAAAAATGTCAACCAACACTTCAGCGGAGGTTGACAGTGGGGTGTCTATTTGAATCAACTGTTACTCTCAAAAACATGCACTATTTATTTTTTATACTGATTGTCTCATTGATTTAGGATGTCAGCAAAAAAAAGAAAATTCGGAGATCGTCATTAAGTTCATGCACGTTTAGAAATTAAGCTTTCAAACTCCCCACTTTGTTTCAATAAGAAATTTAAGCTTTGAAAAAGATTAAACAACCTCTTTATTGTTTATTTGATACTTAGAGAGATTGAGTCCTTCATCATCTAAAGTTTGTTAATTGAAGCATTTATGGTCTGTCATTTGATGTTTTATCAATTAAGCTACAATGGACACAAGCTTTGATTGACGTCAAGTTTACTTGGCTTCTTTCATCAAGCCAGGTGTGCATCAGGTCACATATAGTGTTAACATGATAACACAACCTGTATTTATAGAATGTGACACAGACAGGCCTAAATGGAAGTCAAAAGGGAGAAAATGCATAAACATTAATGTTCAATATTTTTTTTAAAAAATCCTCACTTTTCTTTACTTTGTTTGATTAAAGTGTTTGAGTTAATTGTTGCAAAAGTATAGTTTAATAGACTGTATATGCACTATGTTTCTTAGCAAAAAATTTAATTTGGGTGTGAAGAGTTTGAATATCTGGTTGAATGTACACCATTACATAAAAGCTTAGGCTACTGCTGACTTCAAGCTATCCGCCCGGCTAAAAATTCAGTCAGTGCTTGACCTTGTTAAAAAGATTGATATCAATTGTCACAAACACATTTATAATATTGGCATACAAAAAAAAAATCATTTATGAATATAATAAGTTAAACACTAAAAATTTATAATTATAGTGACAATTGAGATAGAGGGATAGACTGGCCAGGGAGGAAGAGAGGTGAAAGGGGGGATGCATAAGAAGAAAGATATCTGCTAATTATAGTACATGTGCTGGCAAGAGCAATGTCCAAGAATTGCAAGATGTCTTTAACCGCCTGGTTTCAAAGTCTCACACAAGTAAAAGCCAATCTTTCTATTTATTTTTAAACTCATTTATATGATTACTTTTTGTTGTACATTGTACTACATTTCATTGCAGATAGTATGTTTTAATGTATCCAAGCAATCCTTATAATGTCAAAACCTCATAACAATATTTTATTAAAGTCCTTTCTATTGAATATTGGGGCTTAAAAGTACTGTAACAACTATCTCTTGGAAACTATATTTTCAGGTCGAGACCACCAGACTTTCTGAAATCACCATAATTTGCATGTTAAATTAGCTATTTGTTTATATATATACTTTATCAAATGAACGATCAGCTGAATGAGTCACAATGCATTATGGGCTACTACAAATTTTAGTACAAATGCAGCATATTGAAAATGAAAAGCAAATAATTAATTGTCCATTGGAAACTCATTTTCCATTCTTTTTTGATATTTATGAAAAGATATTGAAAATGGTGTGTAATCTTCCATTTCTATGATCACATTTACAGTTTGGTTTATCAAACCTTATATGAACTTGTTTAAATATCAGCGTATACTATTGTTCAAAGAGACGTAGGTGCTATTGCGTAGAACAAGCAGCAAGTATTTTTTCACGTGGTTTTGAGGAGCAAGGGAGAAAACATCAATTGACTGAATGGGCCTTGAAGTACTTTTACAGAATGCTTAAAATTCAAAGCCTTTTTTCTTTGTAATAGTATTATGAACATATATTCCAATGCTATTTTAAAAATGGTACTCATTTGCAACTAAAAATGATTTCTTTTTGATTTTCATTAGAATATTAGGCGTAATGAAAAAATCTAGATGCTTTTTGTTGACAAACCCAACAAGCAAAGCATATTTTTCAGTCTGTGTATCCTATCTACATGTATCTATTCATGTATGTCAAAAGTAATATCTTGTATTTAGGATATTTTTCTTAGATCTAAACATCAATACACCAGTGTGCAATTTTTGTTTTCATTATCTTCAAAACGTATTTAATAGGGGTGAAACGATACACCTCCTTCACGGTTCGATACGTATTGTATAATTTTGTCTCGGTTCAGTTATTTTCGATACGATACATTTAGATAGAAGGAAACAAATTCAACGTTGTTTTATGCTTTCTTTTTCTAAATCTAGTCACATATTTTACGAATTTTATTTGCAAATTGACTAGAAGAAATTGATTAAAATCATTTCACTGTAAAAAATTATTTTACAAGCTATCAGTCATCAAAAATTTACATTTTCTATAGGCCCTACTTATTTATACTGAGTAACGTGTTTTACCTTTTGCCAAACCCGACTGAATAACGATCCCGACCGAAAAATGAACCGAACCGAAAATTAAAGATTTTGCACCGTGTATCAAACCGAGAAAAAATACCGCGGTGAATCGATACCGCGGTGAACCGTTTCACTCCTAGTATTTAATGTATGCATATATGTCAAAGAGTTTAGACAGAATTTGACGTAACTATTAATCATCTAATACATCTCAAATATTCAATGTGAGCATGGAATTTTGTCTTTGGTATATAATCTTTCAATTTCAGCCATATGAAATGAAAAAGAATTAAGTTGTACAGGTTTCCCAGTAAATATTATGCACTATAACAACAAAAGCCACATACAGCTATTTAATAGTAAACACATAGTAGACCATCATGCTTTGCAACTCATTCAATTGATTGGATAATGGGTTTGACAAAAATATTGTCACGTGATGAAAACTACCTTCCATAAAAGGTAGTGTACTTGACCTGATTATGAGCTTCACAGAAGTTGGTGAAACTATATGTTCCTGAACCTTCTGGCATTCCCACAGTGGAAATCCCACATGAAATAATATGAACAAGATGTGTTTGTGAAACAATGATGCCCCCCTTATGGCAACTTGTAGCAAAGGTTAAACTTTCTCAAATGCAAATCAAATATGTTGATACCCAAAGTAAGGTCTTGTCTCGAGGAATATACCTGTGAAATATGAAAGGCCTAGCAGCAACCATTGTACAGATATGGAAAAGGTTAAAGTTCTTTCCAAAATTATGTCAAACATCAAGGTCAAGTCAAATGGTCAAAATTAATGGTGCCAAAGGAAAGGCCTTCTCCCAAGAAATACACAGGTGAAATATGAAAGCCGAAGCACCAATCGTTCAAAAGTTATGACCAAGGTTAAAGTTTTCCAAAAGTTGGTCAAATTCCAAGGTCAAAGGTCAAAGTTGTTGGTATCCAAAGGAAGGTCTTGTCACAAGGATTACACAAGTGAAATATGAAAGCCCTAAGCACCAACTGTTCAAAAGTTATCACAAAGGTTAATGTTTTTTCAAAAGTAGGTCAAACTCCAAGGTCAATGTTAAAGGGTCAAAATGGTTGGTATCCAAAGGAAGGTCCGTTTAAAAGTTATGGCCAAGGTTTAAGTTTGTTAAAATTTTGCAAAACTGGGTCAAACTCCAAGGTCAAGGTCAAAAGGTCATATATGGTGGTACCCAAGGAAAGGTCTTGTCATAATGAACACTCATGTCAAATATCAAAGCCTTACCCTTGACAGCGCAATAGTTATGGGCTAGGTTAAAGTTGACAACAGACAGACAGACAAAAAGACAAACAGACAGACAAACAGGACAAAAACAATATACCCCCGGGATCTTTCGATCAGGGTCATAAAAATTGTTTCCTCATGTCTGAGAGAAGCTACACAATTTATGCGCTGTTCACAAAGACGGTTTAATTTGAATTCAAGTTACTGCGAATTAAATTTGAACCGCGTTCACACGGAGAATTTAATGATATTAGTTTTATTCGAATTAACTGCCTATCAAATTATTTTGCTTTAGCTCCATATGAATACTAAGCAAAGCTAATTCAAATTAAATTCTGATGCACATGTAATAGCAAAATTAAGCCACCTGCCATATGTCGGTGGTTGATATCAGTACTTACTCTATTCTTTTAGTGAAAAACAAAGAAAAAATTATAAATTTATCACTAAACATCTGTACAGACACTACAATATGTCAAATGCAGGAAATTTCAAACCAATTACATAACACTTTATTTGTAGCTAAGATATGATAATTTATTCTGAATTGTAGCCATTGTAATTTGGAACTTAATTTTTGATAATAAGATAATCTTGGATTATGATTATGTCACATACCTGATCAGTGTCAGTTATCTTCTGTGATACGTCTTGAAAGGGGGGGGGGGTTAACATCCATCAGGCTTGTCTCCTCCAGTTGTTTCCACCAAGTCCTGTGTAGGTTCCAGCTGCTGTTTCCACATCTTGGAAGATCAGCATCCATTAGCCTTGCTCGTCCAGTTGTTTCCACCAAGTCCTCGCCCCAAGACCATAAACTGAGAACGGACTTGAGTCAAATTTTTATTTTCAATATCTTGAGTTTTATCTAATGTATTGCTTAAACATTAGCAGTTTTGTATAGCATTTAAATTCAAGCATATGGTCGAATTTTTTTTCATAATCAAAATTATTTCAAAAGTTATTTAAGTTTGAAATTTTCTCAGTTTATGGTCTTGGGGCCTGTTGAGAGCAGCTGCCGTTTCCACATCTTTGAGGATCATTGTCAATCAGGTTTGCCTCAACATCCATCAATCTTCCTCAACATCCATTGGAATTGCCTCCTGTGGTTGTTTCCACCAAGTTCACTTGGGTGTGGTTGCTGTATCCACATCTTGGATGATAACTGCCCATTTTCTTTGCCTCCTACAGTTGTTTCCACCATGTCTTGTTGTCTTCATCTGCAAATTTTCAGAGTCAATATCCATTATCTTGTAGAAAATATCATCCATGCTTCCAGGGCTCCTTTCAAGCTGCCAGATAATTCTTTAAGTGCCTTTTTCAATCTCTTATCCTGGAAGGGGCAAAAAGGGATTATGAATACTGACACATCCTAACAAAAAATCAACATAAGGAAAAAAGTTTATCATTCTGTATTACAGGTCTGCTGTCTCAAAAAATGAGATCTCTGATTAAGTGCAGTGCTATGGATTGAGCATAAAATAGACTGGGATAGACTGGTACACAAAGTAATTAAAAATAAAGATGTGTAACATTTTCTTTCTTTTTTTTGTTGGGAAAACATTTTCTATGAAAAGATGGTATGAGAGACATAAAGGACAATGTATGGCCCTTGTTTGATATAAAAATCAAAATGCAGTTAAAATTTGCAATTAATAACTGTAAGCGATTGATTTAAAGTGTAAATGGAGGCTACAAGAATGTGAAAAATTAGAAAATTCCTCAATTCTGATGAAAATTCATCAGATTTCTGAGATTTCCAAACATGAGATTTATCTGATAACAGTGTATGAAATATGTATATTTTAATAGACTGTGAAGCTTGGAAACAAAATGGCTCTTAAAATTATTACACAACTGAGTATCATTCAATTTTATATAACACTTCATTTGTAGCTGTGTTGATTTATTTTGAATTGAAGCCATTGTAATTTGGAACTTGATTTTTATTAATAAGATAATCTTGGATCATGATTATGTCACATACCTGATCAGTGTCAGTTATCTACTGTTAAATGTCTTGTGGGGGGGGGGGGGTAACATCCATTAGGCATGTCTCCTCCAGTTGTTTCCATCAATTCCTGTTGGCTGCAGCTGCTGTTTCCACATCTTGGAAGATCAACATCTATCAGCCATGCCTCCTGCAGTTATTTCCACAATGTCCTGTTGAGGGCAGCTGCTGTTTCTAAATCTTGGAAAATCAATGTCCATCAACCTTGCTTCTCCAGTTGTTTTCACCAAGTTCTGTTGAGTGCACCTGCTGTTTCCACATCTTGGAGATTGACTGTCCATCAGACATGCATATTCCATTACCACCATGTCCTGTTGTCTTTTTCAATTAAAAATGAAAGAGAGGTAGCTTTTTGAAAAGTTATTTACAAAAGGACAGACAGCTAGACAGACAAGGGACTCCTTCTTATGCATTAGCTCTTCTAGTCTCTGACCAGTAGAGCTAGAGCTTACACATTGGCCATTGCCGAGAAAAGCTACACAATATCAAGGATCACTTTCTCTGTTTTGGAAAGATGAATCAAGTCAATTAGGACTATTTTACTTTCATCTGGAACATTTCCAATTGTCCAAAAATAAGGCATAATGTAAGCTGTTATTTTCTGTCTCCGAATTTTTCATTAAGTCAGTATTTTCTGTTACATTTTACCTCATCTTTCTTAAGAAAATTGCTTATTCCTCTGCAACTTTCAAGCTTTGCCCAACTATAAAATAAAGCTGTAAAAAGAACAAATATAATTAAATAGGCCCTCAATCAGGCTAGAAGTTTCGGCTGAAACACGTTTCAACACTTCACATCTCTTATATCCACCATGTCCAACGTAGATATCACTGCAAAATACAACAAAGAACATTAGACACATGCTTAATACTGATACCATCAACAAATAACTAATACTGATATACATACCAATAACAAATACCTTATACTGACATACTGATAATAAATACCTAATACTGACATAACAATAACAAATAACTAAAACTCATTCCAAAAACAAATAACTAAAACTCATATCAATAACAAATAACTAATACTCACACACCAATAACAAATACCTAACACTCATAACAATAACAAATAACATAATCATAACAACACACCAATAACAAATACCTAATACTAATATACCAATAACAAATAACAAACACTCATAACAATAACAAATAACATAATCATAACAACACACCAATAACAAATACTAATACTGATATACCAATAACAAATAACAAACACTCATAACAATAACATAATCATAACAACACACCAATAACAAATACCTAATACTGATATACCAATAACAAATAACAAACACTCATAACAATAACAAATAACTAAAACTCATAACAATAACAAATAAACTCATAACAATAACAAATAAACTCATAACAATAACAAATAGCTTATACTCATAACAATAACAACACAATCATAACAAGACACCAATAACAAATACCTAATACTGATATACCAATAACAAATAACTAGCACTCATAATAATAACAAATAACTAAAACTCATAGCAATAACAAATAACATAATCATAACAACAACAAAAAGATTTTACAAATAACAATTATAACAAAATACTTAACTTACCAAATCAACATAACAAAGTACAAACAAAACTTGAATTAACAAATGTCTAACAAAAAAAAAACCCTAATGTAACAAATAACTAATATAATGAACAAAACTAACAAAATAAACATTAGATAAATAATATTATCTAAAAATAAACAACTTACAACTAACAACACTAACAAAGCAAGAACTATAACAAATAACTAAGATAACAAAACAACCTAACATTAACATAATAAAAACAAAACAACATAACAAAAACATCAATTCCAGCGTTGTTGGCATGCTGTTCCAGTCCAATATGCCCAGCCGCCTCCAAGTCCTTATTCCACCATCTCCAACGATGAGGTCCCGGCAAAGAGAAAACAGAGAAGATTAGACAAATAAAGAACAACACAACACAACAAAAAAGTATTACTGTATAAAAGATGTGCTGAGAGTGGGGTAGGGAAGGGAAATGTTAGTACTTAGTAGGGGTGCCAAAAATAATAATGAAACGATCATACCTCTGCTATTTCTTAATGACTAAGAAATACCTCCATTCCAGCGCTGTTGGGATGCTGTTCCAATCCAATATGCCCAGCCGCCTCCAAGTCCTTATTCCACCATCTCCAATCCAATATGCCCAGCCGCCTCCAAGTCCTTATTCCACCATCTCCAACGATGAGGTCCCGGCAAAGAGAAAACGGAGAAGATTAGACAAATCAATTTAAACAACACAACACAACAAAAAAACTTTTACTGTATAAAAGATGTGCTGAGAGTGGGGGAGGGAAGGGAAATGTTAGTACTTAGTAGGGTTGCCAAAAATAATAATGAAACGATCATACCTCTGCTATTTCTTAGTGACTAAGAAATACCGGCTCCATTCCAGTGTTGTTGGGATGCTGTTCCAATCCAATATGCCCAGCCGCCTCCAAGTCCTTATTCCACCATCTCCAATCCAATATGCCCAGCCGCCTCCAAGTCCTTATTCCACCATCTCCAACGATGAAGTCCCGGCAAAGAAAATGGAGAAGATTAGACAAATCAAAAACAACACAACAAAAGAACTTTTACTGTACAAAAGATGTGCTGAGAGTGGGGGAGGGAAGGGAAATGTTAGTACTTAGTAGGGGTGCCAAACATAATAATGAAACGATCATACCTCTGCTATTTCTTAATGACTAAGAAATACCTCCATTCCAGCGTTGTTGGGATGCTGTTCCAATCCAATATGCCCAGCCGCCTCCAAGTCCTTATTCCACCATCTCCAACGATGAGGTCCCAGCAAAGAGAAAACAGAGAAGATTAGACAAATCAAAAACAACACAACAAAAAACCTTTTACTGTACAAAAGATGTGCTGAGAGTGGGGGAGGGAAGGGAAATGTTAGTACTTAGTAGGGGTGCCAAAAATAATAATGAAACGATCATACCTCTGCTATTTCTTAATGACTAAGAAATACCTCCATTCCAGCGTTGTTGGGATGCTGTTCCAATCCAATATGCCCAGCCGCCTCCAAGTCCTTATTCCACCATCTCCAATCCAATATGCCCAGCCGCCTCCAAGTCCTTATTCCACCATCTCCAACGATGAGGTCCCAGCAAAGAGAAAACAGAGAAGATTAGACAAATCAAAAACAACACAACACAACAAAAAAACTTTTACTGTACAAAAGATGTGCTGAGAGTGGGGGAGGGAAGGGAAATGTTAGTACTTAGTAGGGGTGCCAAAAATAATAATGAAACGATCATACCTCTGCTATTTCTTAATGACTAAGAAATACCTCAATTCCAGCGTTGTTGGGATGCTGTTCCAATCCAATATGCCCAGCCGCCTCCAAGTCCTTATTCCACCATCTCCAATCCAATATGCCCAGCCGCCTCCAAGTCCTTATTCCACCATCTCCAACGATGAGGTCCCGGCAAAGAGAAAACGGAGAAGATTAGACAAATCAAAAACAACACAACACAACAAAAAACCTTTTACTGTACAAAGATGTGCTGAGAGTGGGGGAGGGAAGGGAAATGTTAGTACTTAGTAGGGGTGCCAAAAATAATAATGAAACGATCATACCTCTGCTATTTCTTAATGACTAAGAAATACCTTCATTCCAGCGTTGTTGGGATGCTGTTCCAATCCAGTATGCCCAGCCGCCTCCAAGTCCTTATTCCACCATCTCCAATCCAATATGCCCAGCCACCTCCAAGTCCTTATTCCACCATCTCCAACGATGAGGTCCCGGCAAAGAGAAAACAGAGAAGATTAGACAAATCAAAAACAACACAACACAACAAAAAAACTTTTACTGTACAAAAGATGTGCTGAGAGTGGGGGAGGGAAGGGAAATG